AATTGTTTTTAACACTGGAGGGGGAAAAAAGGATGGAAAAGGGCAGCTGCATTTAGGAAAACCAGAAAATACATGGACTGACCTCCAGAAATCAGAACTGCCGTGATGTCGCTTGAAGGGCATGGTATCAACACTGAAATGTTTAGAGCTTTTTAAATGAAATGGTTTGGTATTGAATTGAACTTTCTTTCAAAAAGAGTCCTAGAAAAATGATAAATGGAGTTATTAAAATATTAATCCTTAATCTTGGCTTGCCTTTTATGGAAGTAAGTGCAAAGCAAAGTGGGAATGTCTTAAATGTTATAGTTGTGCATTTCATTAATAAAATAAAGTAATATTCTTAATAAAAAAGCCTTTTTCAAAATGAATTGCTGTTGAACTATCATGATGTGCACAGTTTCTGATTTCTATGAAGGTAACTTGATTTTTCTATTAACCTAACTATATCTACATATTTAATCAGTATTCCTGAAACTAAGTACCTTGTTTAGCTGTGAACTTGAGGTGTTAGTGAGCTACTGGCCTCTAATATTTTATGTATAGAAATGTATTTATATATAATATGATGTTGTCTGTGACATATATGTCATCATTACAGCAGCCAAAGAAGTTTCCCAGTGTTATGAGTTTCGCACTCTCTGGGAATATCGGATTTCCAAGGCCTTGTTTCTGTGGAGTTCATTTTGAAGGAGGAAGACTCCACGAGGAAGGACTCCACAGAAAGCACTTGCAGGAGATGGGTCGAGCCCTTGGGTTTGAGATGGGAAAGGGTCTGCGGGTGCTTCCCGTTCCCGGCAAACACGGAGCGACGCGGGAGGCTCCGGAGCTGGGCTCCATCAGGCGGACGGGAGCTGCAGAGGTGGCTGCCGTTGGGTTTCCAGTATTTTTGTTCACATCATTAGCACATCAGACGTTCCTATAAATGTTTAATGCTGTTTACCCCAAATCCTTGAAATCGGTTAGGATTGCATATAAAACAAGACAATATTCGGGTGACCTTAACGCACATGGGAGGCAGCCCGATTCCTTGTTGGACTCACCCACATGTGGAAGGCTGAGGTGGGATATCCTTCTCCACCAAAATGCCCCTGGTTTTGGAGGAACTGCAGAGGTTGCACTGATAGAGACGTTGGTAGAAACTAGGTGGATAATGTGGATTTTTGATGAAAGTTACACTAAATACACTTAAATAGCAACAAAGCCTGAGGTGGCTGGAGCCGCTTCGGCACAAGGAAGTTTGGAGACCCTTGGACCTGGCCTGCCATGGGAGCACATTGCCAAGAGCAGCCAAAACAGGACCTGCCACAACAGGACTTCCCGAGGTCACTTAATGGTGAGATGTGGCCTCTGCTGGGTGCTGGTGGCCTTAATGAAGCAGCGATTGCCACACAGCAAGGCGCAGCATCGAGGTGCCCACGTCAGCGTCGGCCGCTGTTCCCAAGGGAGCCCAGGACCCGATGGGAGCTCCTCATCCAGTCCAAGCTTGCAGAGCGGCCAAGGGTCTTGCAACTAGATGAGGAAAAGCTGCGAGTCAATACATTTTAAATATGATTTTTATCTCGTTGCTTCAGGGGTGCTGAGCTAGTGGAAATTGCATCCGTGGCGTTCAGAAATTATAGCAGCTGATTTTCACGTGCGTTTTGATCAAATTCCGTGCAACGTTGTGCAAACCAAGGCCTAGTGAGGAGTCTTCAACCTCAGGATCTTTGCTGCACGTGCATTAGCTTGAACTGCTTGGCAGTTCAAGAGGATATTGGAAAATGTTGGTGAAAAATAAGTGTGACTTGGTTTTCATCTGAGAAGGCACTGAAACATCCTTTAACGTTGCGCGGTTTTGATGCCGGCTGGATTTTCTCAGTATACACAAAGAGCTTAATTTTGCCAACTTAGAGATTTCTCCAGAGGAGAGCAGACCAGGCAACTTAAAATAGGATCAGGAGAAAAGCAACGTTGGCTTAAACTGCTTCCCGAATGCATGGCAGGGGCCTCCTCGCATTGCAAGCAGGACCTATCTCGGTCACGCTGCGAGTGCTTCGTTTCCTGCATTTGTTTCAGAGCCTTGCGAGCAAGGAGGTGTGAAAACGGCTTTCAGCATAAACCTTGACACTGTTTCGTGAATAAATAGCTATTAATTGCCACAATTGCTACCGCTGCAAAATCCACTTCGATTTTTTAGAAAATTAGACGTTGTTTCTTTGCGCTGCTCGGAGTGATCCCACCGCAGACGGCAACAGTCGCCGAATCTGACTAAACATTAAATATCAACCTAGGATTAAAATTTAATAATGTTGTTAGCTATTGCTGAATAGTTAATGGGCTACGCTAAAAGCACCTACTGTACAAATATGGCCTGTAAACAATTACAGAATTTTATTAGCATTGTAATTAAGAGCGTGCTGGCTGCCAGTGGTACCTCACTAAACGCAAGGGAAATTATGAAAAGTAAACGTGTGACCCCTGGCAGACTCATCCCCAGTATTTAATAGCTTTTCCTATCAGTGGACATCTGAAGATAGATTTTGCACTGGCGACGCACACGTGTTTGGATCTGTATTCCACAGAGGAGGCTTCAAGGAGCAATATTGGATCAAAGAAAAAAGTTGTTTCATTAGGAAGATGACACTAGGAGGAGAGTATTTCATTATTTTATTCCGGGAAACAGGGGAAAAGTGTTGATTAACTTTCCAAGGACCTTGAAACTTCGTGCAGAGCCTCCCCTTTTGGAGCTCAGCCCAAGCTGTCGTGACAACGTGTAGCAAGTTTCTGTAGTGTTTTTTTCCTAAAAAAAATTACTTAAATACGACAAAGAATTATCTCACATTCCTATTCCATTCGTGTTATGCTGAGCTGCATTGTTTTTCTGTGTTTATTTGTCCAGCAAACAGTGCAGTTTGTAGAAGCTTTCGTGTTGTCCTGTCCTGCTTTCGTGCAGCGGTGGAAAGTTGGACTCACACGTTGAGCTTGCCCATGTCCCCTCATTCTCACCGTGGGAATGAGGAGGATCTTCCTCTCCAGTCCTCTCTTTTGACCACCAGAGCATCCGCAGCTCCTCGGGCCAGGCCGGAATCCGCCGGGAATCGGCGGCAGGACGGGGATGGGCGCTGCGGGAGCGCGGAGCACACTCGTGTTCACCAGCATCCATGGGCGATGCCGAGGCGCTGGAGAGGAGAAGGGCTCACAGGCGGCCACAAAATCACAGTGACATCTTTCAGCATCTCTAGCAGTTACTATATCAAAAAAATGCAAACTTAAGTACATTTAGAAGCTTCATAGTTGCTTCACACTTTGTTTTTTTTCCCGTATAGGAGGTTAACAGTAATTTCTTCAGATATGAAACTCATTTCCTGCCTGTTGCAGCCCTGTGCATAAACTGTACTGGTGAGCCACAGGTAGATAAGCACAGAGCTGTGGTCAAAACTAGCAGAAATAGAAACTGCTTCCTTACAAAAAAAAAAAGGTAAAAAAAAAGGCAGCAGCTGTGCATTTGCTGATGGATTAAGTGGAAAGGACTGGATTTGCAAGTGTGCAGGTGACATTTCTATGTGGAGAAAGTTAAGTATACATTTCTGTGCTTGCGAAAACAGGGGAATTTCCAGATTATTTGGGTAAATGATGATCTGTAAGAAGGCACATTGAGCAGAGCAAAGGTTGTCTGCTGTTCTCCTGAGCATTTACGAACCATCTGCAGAACCTTATATAAATGATGGACTGAATTATGCCTTCAGCCTAGTCATAAATGGCCAATTTAATGTCCCGGTCCCCAGTCGCTTTTCCCTTTTGTATTTATATCATTAGCCCATGCTGAAAGACTCATCAGGTGTGTTTGCACAGTGTAGAAAAAGTAATTCTCTGGAAGAGACAACATCTGCTGTGGAGGAGGTCAGATACAAACTCCCACTGCCGAGGAGGGAATTTGTCTGGCGGGGTTTGGGGGACCGGGGGTAAATGAGGTGGCTCAGTGTGCAGGCAACAACAACCAGTGTCATCTTGAGCCTGATCTCAGGTCCTGGTAGCAAATGCTTTGATTGCAGATAATGAAAATCCTAAAAGTAACTGGGAAACTCTGGGCTGTCTGAGAAAGCATAGAACATTCCTGTGCGGCCTGTGATGCTCTCATTATGCGGACTTACCTTGAAAACAAGTCAGGAATATGTATTTACTATTTTATTGAACTGTTTGTAGAATCAGAAGACTTTCCAAATGTATTTTCTGAGTACTTCTACTCCTTATTCCCCCCACTGTTTTCATCATTAACTGTGGGGAAGGGCAGGACTTCCCTATTGGAACCATCGGCCTCTCAGTAGCAGGTAGTCTTAGAGGGGTCTGCACAAGCCTAGTTTATCAAATTGGAACATAAAGAAGCAATAACAGTGATATTTTTTCATGTCATATGGGTTTTCAGTACTTACAGTGATGTTTCTGTGTTCCTGAAATGGAAGTTTAAGGCTACTTTTTGTCATTTCTTTCTTTTTTTCATGCTTGCTCTCAGGAGGAGATACCTCCAGTACTGCCGCCGTGTTTCTGTGGCAGTTTATGTTTTTTCTTCATTCTTTTCTAAGCATCAGCGTGCCTGAACACACCACTTAATGAAATTAAAACTTGGGGTTGGAGTGCGACGCTCACTCTAATTACTTCTAAGGCAACATGGTATTGACTTTCCAAATGCAAATACTGAAATTGTATTACATTTTTGGCAATAGCATTTATTACCTTCCAAAGCCCTTAATGCCTGAGCAAGCTTTATATGGAGAATGTGTTGCAAAGTCTTCAGTGAAGAGGCTGGTAAAGCCATGAAACCAATAAATAGAAACTGTTCAAGAACCAGGCTTTCAAATTTGCCTTTTAATTTCTCAGCAGAATTTTGCATAGCCATTAGCGAATTTAAATGCTGGGATTATGTCCCTGCATTACTCAACATTCTCCGGCACTATTGTGTTTTGGCAGCGAGTGTTACGTTGCTCTATCCTACTCCATTGATTTGTGTGTATTTTTGTTTTCAGGGAAGTTTCGTTGCGTGCATGACTGCTATTTTAAGGCAAATGGAAGACTATCACTACGCTCATTTAATCAAGACTTTTGGGAAGATGAGGTCAGATGTTGTGGTAAGTCTCACGTGTTTTACCTCCTCATAACTTATTTTTTTTTCTTATTCCTATTTGTTAATTACACTTAAGAAATAGAAACAAAACATGCTTCAAATTACACGATAGGATATGAGAACACGTATCCAAGCACTCTGACTTCTTATATTTTCTGCATTCGCGAAGGGCAGTCTTAATCTTCCTGCTTTCTATAGGAATGCAGTTCATCTCTGGAACTCTTTAATATTGGAAAACGAGCTCTCAGATGCTGAATTGAAGGTAATTAAAGTATTAGGAAACAGGAATGCCAAGTTATTATGAAAACTGTTTTGTTTAGTAAGAAGCAAAAAGCAAAGCTTTCATGAGGAAAGAATTTTTTATTATTAAATCCTCCAGATGTCCCAATTTTATTCATTTGTTTAAATAGCTTTTACTTATAGGACTGCTATAGGACAATTTTTAAAGCAAAAATTGTACAAAACATTTTAACCTTAAAAATGCCCTTGGCTGTTAAAAAAAGTAATAATAATTGAAACTCATCTCCTCAGAATCGTTCAGTAGCCTAACTAAGCCTACGACACGACTTAATTAGAGCATAATAGAAGAGAGTTTATAGCTAAGGAGATAACTCTCTAATGACCTGCAACTATCATTGCCATATGGCAAGAGCGTGCTGCAAAGGAGCTACCAAACTCCTTGGCTGAGATCCATCAATTAGCGGCTGACCTGAAGCCTGATCCGCTGTATTACATTACCCAGAGTGTTCCTGGGGATTCTCCCAGGCATTTTAAGCAGCTTTCAGCTGTATTTTAATCTTCGAGATGGCCAGTATTTAGATATCCTCCCTCCTTCCAATTTCCAAACCCAACAAAACAGAAAACCACCGTCTTTTATTTGCATGATTAATTTGTGTCAGGCCTTTCCAAGCTCTGCGTTCTGTCTTCAAGGTTTTCTCCTCCTTTCTACTTGTATTCTGTGAGATGTGAGCTCTTCACAGCGCGCCACGTTGCAGAAAAGGCACTAGGTCCTTTCCTGTTCACTCTACTTGTGCCTGCTCCAAAGGGTAAGGAAAAAGCTGGCCATGGAGGTGGCTCAGGACAAGGAGGAGCAAGCCTAGCCAAGGAAGGGCACGAGGACACTGAAAAAGCTGCTGGCTGAAAAAGTGGCAGGTGACCTGCCAGCTGGCGTGAGTCTGAAGCGCAGCCCTCACTCTGCTCGTGCAGTCCTGACCCCGGAGACGTCGTCTGGCCCTGGGTTAGGGCGCCGTGTCTGTGCTTCGGGTGTGGAAGAGGCAGGAAGGAGCTCGGGGAGCTGCAATTAGGGAGAGAGAAACAAACAGACGAGGTTATGCTGCTTTATAAATCACCCGCGCTCAATCACAGCATCCAGTTTTGATGGGAAGAGGTTGTAACGAAGCAAAAAAAGCAGAGAGAAGGGGCAGGGATGGAACCTGAAGGACCGATCTGATGAAATGACTAGAAGTGTCTATATGAGTTCATATAGAAAAAGCAGGGCGGTTTGCTCTCAAAATGCAGAGTGAGAAAATGGAGGGGAAAAGCCATCATTCTGGCATCTGTGGTCTTTCTGATGGAGGAGAAAGAGTTCATTACAAATTTTATCTTACTTTGCACTTTTTTTCTTTATTTTTTGTCTTATGGATGGTTCTGTACATCAGTTCTCTCTTGACAGAAAAAAAGAAACAATTATGAAATTGAAATTTGGTAAAGCAATCTATTTAAGTTACCTGTTTGAACAGTTTGACTAACATGTACGTGGAGAATTACTCTTTTTCCTTTGTTTTGACTCCCTGCTTTTTCTTCCAGTTGTGTATATTCTTCATTTCTGTATTTGAAATTACGTTTTATACTCTTAAAACCTTATTTTTGGTCACCTCTGTACTGTTTTCTACGACTTGTCTTCCTCAGTTGTGCCACTTAACTGTGATTTGTAGTTAGCAGATACACTAATCCAAGCTCTTCTATTTGTCCATTGCTCTAGGATCTTTCTATCTTCCACTAAAAGGTACCTTTAAAATATTTTAATACCATTGATTAAATGATAATGTATGTTAATGGGAGCTAGCATACCTATTAATCTGGTAGCACATTAAATGGGTAATAAGTTAATGGCAAATTATAGTGTTTTTAATTTAAAAATATTAGTCAAACACATGGAGGTGTGGAGGTGTAATGACAACACACTGCAAACACCGGCCAAAGCAAACTGCAGCGGGTAACCTTGTTCTTTCATTAGTGAAGTTAATTATCCCTTAGGAGATAATAGGAGGTAACGTGCTAATAATGTGGTGGGGTTTGTCTCTGTTCAGCTTTGGGCTCCCTTCCCTCTTGAGTGCAAGATCCCTTCCCCTCTTTTCTTGGGAAAAAGCCCTGTCCTTAAACTTCTTATGTCTTTCCCGTTTCTCTTTAATCCGACAATTTCTTTAGCTCTCCTGCCAGTGCCCTTTGACTGACTGACTCCTTAGAGCTTGGCTTGAGGAGTGATTTAATGCTGACATCTGCACATGGAGGTGGTTTCTGCATCTGCCATTACACAGGGTTTAATCTAATCACGAAGGCGGGAAGATAACAATGATTTACAAGTGAGACTAGATGACCTCAAACAGAAGTGCCTTTTGCTTAAAAAAGGGGTTGTGTGAATGGAAGAGCTTAAGCGGGAGCTGCACTTGCTCCTTTACCTGGGAAGGCTCCAGAGCAGAGGTGGGGGGTTCTCCCAGCTCAGCTCCCAGACCTGCTCCTGCCCGGCCAGACATCGCGAGGCTGGTGTTGGAAATGCTAAAGGGAGCTTCATGGTCCGTGCTGTGGAGGCGCCAGGTCCTCTACATCGTTATAGTGGTTGTCTTTGGCCTTACATATCCGTGAGGAGATGAGCTGGGATGCCTCAAAACCAGTCTTAGAGCTCTCTATGGAGTATATTATTTAGATTCAATTTTAAAAACTGTTCATATTAAGGAATTAAGGAGAATTTCTTATTTCGAAGCCTCTTCTCATCCTGACAAGCAATATTGCCTGAGATCAGTGAGATTATTTCTGGGACCAAAGGGCTTCTCTTCCTCCCACCCCCGTGTCTTTTGGGGAAACTTGATACTGAGGTGTTGGGGATGTATGTAATGCCCACTGAGAGCAATCTCCAAGAAGCTGCCAAGGTTGGTGGTGCTTCTCCTGCACCACCAGCTCTTTCCCCATAAAACATGGCTCTCTTGGGTCCCTTGGTTTTAGCAGCGTGTGAGAAGGTGGTTGAGAGTGACCAGCTTTGGTGGTGGGTAACGCTGAGCTTTGGCTCCTCACTGGTGTGAGTGGGCGCTGTGCGGCCCAGGCCGGCTCTTCTTCACCTTCATGTGAGGATCTCCGCAGATTAGGGCACGCGCTGAGGCAGGAGTTTCATTTTTCATATTGCCTTCATGCATATTTTAGCAAGCAATTTTGATTAAGCTTGAAAACTTACTGAAATTGAAACCAGAGTCATTAAAAAATGTAAATGGTAGAGCTGCATCCCTGCGTGAGGTGGAGCAGTCTGCTGGGAACGGGACCGTCCGACCGCCGCCGTTGCCACATGGAGCTGAGGTGGCTTTGCTGCCCCTTCGGAGCTGCAGGAGACCCATCTGTTGGGAATTCTGCTTCGCTGGTATCTTGCGTGGGATGTGCATTTGTAGCTGAAGGGAGCTTGGGGGTTGCGTCCTTGCTCCTTTATCACAGCTTTTCTAAAATCATTTTTAATAACTGGAACAGTTTGTGGTCTAAGTGCTGAAAATCTGCTGTCTGAACAGCGTCTACAGGAACACACCAGGAATTCCCAGCTCCTCTTTCCAACTTCCTCCCTCCAAAAAGATGGATTTTGCTCGTAGTATGAGGTTAACTCATACAAACCAGTTGCTTTTTTACAGGAAGGATAAAATGTCCTGCAAATAGATGTTCTGAGGGGATTTCTGTGCTGTGTCCTCAGCATCCATGCAGCTCCCCCATCCCTAGCAATTCAGGAGCCAGGAGAAACTCCCAAGAACAATAAATCAAGAGAGAAAATCCAACAAAGCTGCTGAACAATTCTTAGGAGAGCAGTAACTTCACATTTGGTTTTCACTGAGATGGTTATGTAAGAAACTGCCTTAGTTAAAAGTCCAGCGAATGTAGTATTTTGTGTGTTCTTTTTCATAGAAATTTGACATTTTAAAGATAGAGGATATAAATGCTGTTACTGAAAAGAGACAGCAAATGAAAAGTATTCTGTCCTTGGACAAGAATAGAAGTTTTTAGCCCTGTGTATGGTTGATCAGAGAAGTTTTTCAGTATATTCTATCTGGCTGTTTTTTCCTCCGAGCATTTGATATAACTTAAACTGTTAGGTAATAATTACAGATTTGCAAATTGTACAGGAGGATTTACATTGTAAAGTACATGAGGTTTCTGTTCCAAAGTGATGTTTGTTTATATCTCTGCAGAAATAAATTGGTTTCTGCTACCAAATTAACTTCGTTCTGGGTCAGGCTTTCCCTCGCAGAAGCAATTCCCAGAGGTACCATGAGATACCAGGATGGTTTTAACCAGCTTCCACCTTCAGAAAGGTCCAACCTGTGTTGGTCTGCGGGGCTGCACATGTCTGTACACATCTGCACACATCTGTACACATCTGTAGAGGTGCTGCTGCCCGCTGCAGGCCCAAAGGGGCGGTGAGACTTGCTCCAATGTCCTTGTCCTTCCTAGATTAATGCTTTCCAGCAAGGCTCCTTTGAGAAATTAGCAATCCACTGCTGTTCCCGAGCTCGTACAGCAGGTTGTTTGCAATGCAGGCTTACTATTACTGCTGGTTTTGAAAAGTTTAAAGAGAATAATGGTGGAAGTTCTATATATTGTGTAGAAATATAAGTTGGTTGTGTCTGTGTATGTTGTATATGAATAACGTCTTTTCATCTGGTTGCTGATAACTGACTTCACCAGCACATCTATCTTTCCCTTTGGATTAAATGGCCTTAACCCAAATATTTTCTCTCATTTTAGGACTTCCTGATGGAAACGTTCATCATGTTCAAGAATCTCATCGGGAAGAACGTCTATCCCTTCGACTGGGTTATAATGAACATGATGCAGAATAAGTGAGTAGAGAGGGGAGCGGCGCGGAGCTTGCTGAGCTGGCGGCTCCGTGCTGGAGCCGGAGCAGCGCCGTTGCTGGGAAACACGGAAACACAATGCGGCAGCAAGGCTGCGCTTTGTTGTTCTGTGATGCTCCTGTTTAAACTTGGCTCTGGAGCCTGGGAGGGAGCGTTCGGGGGGGCTGCTTTGAGCCCTTTGGAGCACACGACAAATGAATGGTGGCACCAAAATTTCAGTTTTCAACTGTCCATGCAATAGGCTTCTATATATACATTATAAAAATAATTATATTTCTTTAAGGCTACGTGATGTGTCTTTTACGTGACCTTAGAAGCTAGTGGCTGCCGTGGATGCCCATGTCGAGTTGTATGTATAATTTCAGTGGCAATAACAAGCAAGGAGTGACAGGGCTTGCGTTTTACAACCAGGTTCCCTCAGCCCGATGATGAAGTGACAGGCCCTGCATTTCTAAGCCCTGTTTTTATTTTTTTCCTTAATAATTGCAGCATTGTTGTTATTTAACACGACTTTGTGTAATATTTTGTTTGTGACATTTATTAAATCTGTCAGGCACATTTATGTGTACTGTGATGAAAGTGTAAGGGAAAAACACTATATTTACTAGTTGCCTGGAGAAATCTCTTCTGTGCTCACTGCTAGCTACCATGGCTATAAAGTTGTCAATGTTTACCTATATAAAATCTGGTATTACAGGTCCTACTTTTATTATAAAATCCACTATAACTTGAATCTTGACTTCCAAAGTTGTCCTTGCCATCCAATAAAATCCGTTTTTAACAACTGTGAGGTAGCAGACGCAGCCATCCCGAGTTATGCTCCGGGACTGGGGCTGCTCCCCTCCACGTGCCTATAGCTTGAAAAGCACCTGCTGCTTTAAACAACCCCCCCTCGGGGCTAGCTGGGGAGGCAGATTGGAAACCCACAGGGTTTCTCTTTGAAAAATTTTGGATGTGGCTCTTGTTGCAGAGCTCCAGCCCCGAGAGCGGTGAGGCAGCTGCTGCGGGAGCCCTCGTTTGTTGTGTGGCATCCTCTCTAAAGGAGGGCGCTCCTGCACTTTGCAGAATGTTTTAGAGGGTTGAAGTACGAGCAGGAAAGCCTCTGTTTGGACCTCACTTGGCCACGGGCAAGACTCTGCTGCAGAGGGTCTTCCAGCAGTTCCTTCCCCAAACCTGCTGAGGTTGCTTGTTCCTCACAGGACCTTCAGGACTTTGCCAGATGGGTTTGCAGGGTTCACGTGCATGGTGTTTGGCCTTGCTTGCCATGCTCTTCTGCATTCTCTGTTCTGCAGGTTTGGAGTACTGTGAAATGTGATGCAACACCCTCAGTTAGGATATGAGCTTGTTCATCCCAAATTCACAAGTTAATTCTCATTACACCAGCTCAAGTTTGTAGAAGCATCTGAATTCATGAGGTCTTTTTTTTTCTGCCCCCTTGGTTTCATTGAAGGAAACTAGGAGGTATTTAAGAATAAGTTCCATCTGCTAAAAGTAGTGGCTCATCTCCATAGAAATACCCGAGCATGCCACTTTACGTCACTCTTGCAAGATATTTATTTCTGCAGATTGAGTATTGTTGAGAGATGAAAAACAGGAGCCAATTTTTAAAGTGAGCTGATTTTTGGAGTTGCAAATATGAGGGCAGGATGGAAATGGAGTGAAGCGTGCACAGGAACAGGGAACGTTGCAGGGAACATTCACAGATACAGCTAGTTAGGCACGTACAGCTTTCTGCCTTCACTCACTAGTAGGCATTTGCTCTGGTAACACAAATAGCGTGCTGTGTTGCCACATATCAGGCCAAAATGAACACAAAGGCCTTCACATTGAGTGAAATGTTAGTTACTTTTTTGCTCTTGGATGCAATACTCTCTTTATAGACGTCGCTGGTTCAAGCGCCCGCAGCAGGAGGGTTGAAGGTCAGGCAGAGGGGGATCCACTGAGGTGCTGATGGGGGGCAAGGAGCATGGGGCCATCGTTAGGGTGGCCTCACCCAGCTTTTCCCCTGTTGCCTTGCTTTTCCTGCAGTATTTTAAACGTGGCAGACTGCTGGCAAGTGGGTCCTGGCTGCACTCAGTGCCCCAAAATAAAGATGGGCCAAGGTAACTTTAAAAGAAAATGGTCCTGCCGTTTTCAACGTTACTGCTGGAAATTGCTAATAATTCTGTTTGGGAAACTTGGGCAGTAAATTACAGCTGCTGTGGGGTTTATGTGCTTTCATATTTCAGGGAGAGTTATGTCCGTGGAAGGGAAGGCTCTCACCACATGAAAAGGAAGAGTTTTATGGGCCGTGTTGACGGCTTCTCTGATGGCTGCTTTATGGCTACCTAGCAGAAACCTGAGGTTGGTCTGCAGCCCCACGCTTTGTCTGGAGCAGAGATCCCGGGATGCAGTTGGGCTGTTACACCGGGATGTGCTGCGAGGTTTTCCTGTGGTTCAAAACAGACCTTTGGGGACAGATGCTTCATTCCAGTGATCTCTTAAAAAAAAGAAAATTAAGTAGTGTTTTTTTTTTTTTTTTTTTTAACTATAAAAGTAGTTCTTAGAAGTTCAGTTGTTGAGAATCACCAGGGATTTTGTAGCATTTCTTTTTCCTTCTCTCCTGAAGCAGGAGCCTGCACATCTCTAACCAGCAGGCAATGTGTGCTTAGTTTCCTCCTAAATAACATGACAAGTCACCCCGCTGCTTCCCACCTGTGCAGGCTGAGATCCCTGCGAGCCGGGTCTCCCTGTTTGGGACAGGGGGTCGATTCCCTCATATTGCTGCGTGGGGCTCGTTTGGGGAGCGCTGGGGACTCTTGGGCTCTGCTGCTGCATGGATGTCACAGCGGGACCTGTCACACGTGCTCGTAGGGCCATCCAGCAGCGCCACAGGTGGGAAGGAGCACGGGGAAACATGGAGATCGCTGCTGCTTCTCCCAATCTACTGCGGGAACCTGGTCCCAAAGGTGGTCAGGTGGTCTGTGTTTCTCTTCACAGAGGCAAGTTTCATCATCAGTGAAAGGCAGTGTGTAACGTGCTGCCCTGCTCAGCAAAGGCCTTGCAGGACTGCTCAGGTTGGGATCCCACCTGTCCAATGGAGCAGGCTTGGGAACGAGGGCAATTAAGCTGGCTGGATATAAAGGCAGCACAGGGTGCTCCTCCCTCACCAGGCTGAGGTTCCTCCAAGGAAGCAGGGGGAGGTAGGAGCCTCTCTTTGCTGTGAGGTGCTGGGCCTCATGTGGCATCGTGTGGGTAAGGGAAGCAGTTGTAAGAACAGCTGCTTTGGCACTGGGCAGAGGGTGCTAATGTGTTGCTCTCCATGTTTGTTTGTTCTGGCTTTGATTCTGGTTTGTGCTGCTCTTGGGTCACAAGGAACCCCCTAGCAATTTCATCAGAGAGGTTTTAGAGACTTTAGGGGAAGAGCTCCTTTAGTTTCTTTTTTTTCCTCTGAATTTTCTAATTTTAAAATTAAAAACCTAAATTTAAAATATATTCTGCCATTTCTAAGCCTGAAAGTGGCTCTGTCCCTCTCTCCTAGTGTCCGAGTCAGACTGCCAAGACCGGGCATGTAGCTGCACTGGGTAGTGGCCTGGGGAGGAAGAGCAGGGGGCACCTGAGTTTATAGTGGGAGGTTGAGCCTGGGGCTCCCTGCAGCTTGTGGGGAGCAGGAGCAGTCTGGGAATCTGGGTATCAAGGCACCTGGAAACCCCTCCTGGATCCCGCTGCTCCAGGAGGTGCTGGGGCCCCTGGGGCTTGCAGAGGCAGGAGCTGGACTTGCAGCTGCTTCTTACAAAACATCTTCCAGTGCAAAAATGGGGGACATGGTCTGAAAAATCAGAATTATTCTTGAAACTGGATTTTTTTTTTTGCCTGCCCTGCCTTAGAAACTAGTGAATTACGTGATTATGTATGTGATTATGTAAGCTACCTAGGTAGGAAACTGGGTTGTTCCAAAGAACAGAAGCATTTTAAGATTCTGCTCTTAAATTATATCTGAAGATATAAAATATCATACAATTTTTACATCTCTAGAAAGTAGTTGTGCTTCTCTTGTGCAGCTGGTTTTAATAGAAGCATTTATTTTTTTCCCTGGGATCTCATTTCTGCATTGATGAAATAAGGATATTCCAGCTGTTCATCTCAGAGCACTGGGGCTGCAAATGAAGAGAGTCAATATTACAAAGCCCAGGAATTGTGGCCACTATAAAAATCTCATGGAAAATCCCATTTCCACCATTGTGGTGGTGGCTGGAATCACCTGAATGAGTTCTGAGAATTTAAGAAAATGGTACCAAGTGATGTCAGCATCACATATCCAAATGTAAAGTGTATCCTCTTGTTTTTTCTGCTTTTTTCATTTTTCTGACACACACTCTATGGCATGAAGCAGAAGATGCAGATCCTTGCTCCTTTTAAAAGCAGGTGCATGAGGCAGCTGACTAGACAAAGCTGAAGGTGTTAAATCAAAAAGGCTGTTAGCACGTCTCAATTTTCTTAATGGTAAAAGCCAAGGTCATGTGATACCTGTTTTTAAAACTGATGCCAAAGTCATTTTCACTTGAAATTGTTATTTTTCCACGTCAGCTTTGTTTGAACTAATACTTATTACACATTTTAAGGTATCTAGTAGGTGACAGCTGTGCTGCTTGTTCGCACTGTGGGTTGTGTTAATCTTTTGCTCTGCCGTTATGTAAAAACCACAACCTTTCCCTCTTCAGAAGTAGAGCAAAATGTTTGTGTATCTGAAAGGCCAATGGAAGATTGGCTTTTACCGAATTGGTCTATTTTGGGCAGTGTCTTTGCCTTTCCTGTAAAATCAATTGCTCTGCCCTCTAGTTTTCTCTTTATATTTGCTAAAAACCAAAAACGGCTCAGAAATGCATGCCCCATTTCCCTCCTCTCTTCTCCCAACGAAACCAGTAAAAATCCAAACATGCTCATTTGTGGCTAGGTGGGAGCAGTTTAGTATTTTGAGGGTCTCCAGTAAGAAATCTAAATAACCA